GAATAGTCTAGGGAACATACTGTATTAATGTACTCTACTGCATATAATTTGTGAACATTTACATGATTTGTACACTTTGAACTCCCTTTCAGGCTGAAAGGGACTGAAAAAATTCATACCGAGAGATTTTTTTAATTCCTCTCTATATATTCTATTCTCTATGGTAGTGAGCGAGGCCCCCCTTGCGTAGAAATTTTGTTTGTAGTTTTTTAATGAAAACTAGTAATTTCAGCTTGAATTTTATGTTATGTAGAATATTTTTTTATTTTTCAACAACATATGTAATTTTACCTTGAACTTAATGTTACAGTTAAAATTTGATTTTCCCTGAATTTGATGTTTTGTATTGTACACAGAAATTTTCATAGTTGTTATCTCAAATTTTACAAGTTTGGATGACACTAAATGTTGATAATTTTGATATTACTACTCACGTGAGTGGGGGAAGGCAGGCGGTCATAAGCCACAACATTTTCTCCTTCCATGTCATGTATTATCTTTTTCGTTTTCCGGCAGCCATGAGCCACAACCGTACGGGCTTCCATGCCACAGCATTTGAGTCTTCCGGTAGTTATATGTTTTTAAATGATACATTTAGTGCGTTGAAATGGCATTATTTTAAAACCTGCTGCATTAGGAGAAAGATCATACCTTCAAGAAATTTTAGAAGTTTATTAAAGATCAATTAGTTGTGTGTTCAGTTTATAAACTGCTTTACATTATACAAAGAAAATTTTACATAATTTTACGCATCTTTTATTGTTGATAATGTTTTTAAAAATAAGCCATTTTAGAGGAAAGATTGAATTTATTTTTAGGTAAAGTTTAGCAGTTTACAATAAAAGGAATCGTCATTATTTCAATTTAAAACTTAAATATTAAGTTCTTTATATATATATATCTTTTGCATAACGTCGCAGGATTTTTAAAAATCATAATTTCAATGCACTAAATTTATTATTTTAAAACGTAATTACTGCTGGAAGACTTAAATGCTCAAATAGTTATTCTTTTGTTAACCTTGTTCCTAAAATCCTAAATTGCTTTACTTACCTGTTTTTGTTCCTTATTTTAAGTTCGACATTTCTTCTTATCTAGGATTTAATAAACTAAGTTCTTTGTTTTTGTATTTAATATCATAATTCCTTTATATAACTTCAAAGAGGGACACATACGATTCATCAAATTAGGAACATTATTTATTCAAATTGGGAACTTTTTTGTCTCAAAATCTCAGAGTGGGCGTCCCCCCCC